GGAGGAAGAACAACTTTTCCACAGGTTTAACACCTTCGGACACTGTATCCGTCCTAACAGAAACTGAGATAAACTCTTAATTCAAACTCATTCCACGTTCCTGGGGCTTTACCTTAAAGTAATGACACACGCAAGCAAACTAGGAGTGCATGTATACAACAGAGCCCAGGTAAGGGTAAGTAGTATTCCCAAACAGAGCCCATAGCCCAGATATACACACTGATAGGTGCTGATGCCGTTTGCAGGAAGTAAAATATATAAACAGCCAGACGGACAAACTGGGCAAAACTTACAACCCGGATCGTAAGCGCTGCCAAGTCAGTTGGGGACACGGGTTTGCTCGAAACAAACGAAGCAAATTCCTTGTGTTGATGCTTCAATACAGTGCTTGCTAACCTGGGCGGAGTTGACCACTAATGGGCCAATTTATAATTTTGGTTTTGAGGGGGGGGGGGGAATTCGGGTAGGGGCGCTGGGAAATACATGTAGGTGGGCAGGACGAAAAGGCTATCCTGTAAATTTGAAGACACGCATTCTGGTCCATCTGCAACGCTTGAAGATGCGCTGTTCTGTGGCATAACTTCAGTATTCAAACAAACTGACCGAACCTTTTTGCTGCACCCGAAACTTTAAAAAGCATGCTACAAACAATGCATAATATGAAATATGCAAACTGGTGATACTGAATTGTGAATGATGGTTCGAAATATGCCGAAACCCTGCCTTAGCTCCGCTGCTGATCGGACACATTACTATGTGGCGCTCATATGACCTTAAGCAGTTGCGAGCGCCGTAAAACCTTACCAAAACTAACTAATAACTAAACATTATTATATGTCGCTAAGAGAGTTGACGGTGACAAAAGTGGGCGCTGGCTGTAAAAAGATTGACAAGCACTGCTTCAGCACAAGCTTTTATGACGTATTGAAAGACAGGCAAACTCATTCTACGCATGCTTTATCAGTACACGACTAAAAACCAATGTGTGAGCGTACGCGAGCTCGCCTGTGTTTTTCCCCTCCACAGAAAAGTAAGGACAAACGATAGATCTCTCTGACTGTGAGCTCATCTGTGTGACAGTCAGTGTAACTGATTCCCACGTCCCGACAAGCGTGTGACGTCGATCAATAGTGTTGTCCTCATAAAGAGAGATAACGCTCACGACGCCAATCACTGGTAGCTGAGAGTGAGTCATGGGTCAAGGGGGCACTCACAGTTAAAGTAGAGCCCATCAATAGAAAGGGAGTGAGTGGGTTGGGGGGAGGGTGTATGTTCATGCACGTGCTCGGATATGGGTGGG